AATCATATGAGAATATCAGGGGAATCAAATAACAATAAGTTATGCAAATGTATGTTTATTAAATGAAGATTAGGTGAGGAATGAATTAAGAGAATATAAGAAATTAGGATACTAGAATATGTAATGAGAATTTATGGGTGAAATGTTAAATAGAAATATATAGAAATAAGAGATAAGATATGTAGGATTGTGATCAAAATTACAGGATTAAGAATAAGGTAAGTAAACGACTTAAATGAAGATAGTAGAATATGATATAAGCTAAGTAGTGTAAATTAAATGATTATAAGAATATGAAATAGTAAAACTCATATGTGATATTATAAGGTTTGCGTATGTATGTATTCATTTTATGAAGTGTACATGAAGATGTATGTTATAATAGCATTAATTATTTATATGCATTGTTAGAAGTTTTAGTTTATATTATATGTTTTATAAGCCTCACTAAGTCATAGACTTGGCGTGTAAGTGATTTACACGTAGGTTTCAAGAAGAGTAAAGAGCAATGTGGAACAAGACAGGTCAGTTCTCCATACTAAAGGTCAGATCAGAAAAGAAATGAATAATATGTATTTTAATATATAAAGTTCTAGTTGGCATGTATTCAAAAGAATATATTGTATAAGCTCTGAATAATTTTGTAAACGTTTTTGAATAAGTTATATGTTATAAAAGTTTTAAATTACTCACTATTTTATACAAATAAATGTTTTGAAAAGTCAATGTGACACCTCGGACTCGTATTCGGGTCGAATACGGGTTGGGGTGTTACAGAATCGATGTAAATTCTTTAAGTGGATTGACAAGGAAGAAGATAATGATTGTGTAATTCAAGAATTGATGGCAACACTTGAAATGGTGATGGTCGAGAATAGAAAAATCAAAGCCGAAAACAATGAAATGAAGGAACTTATCAAAAGCGATGAAGTACAAAGACTGCGAGCAATGGTGGAGGATCAAAAAGTGAAAATTAAATCCTACAAGATTGGTTTTCTTATTTCATGGATAATGTATATTTTGATAAAATTTGATATTTAAAGAGTATGAATTATTGGATCTGATGAGAGTATCTGTTGAATTTTGTAAGAACAAATTTTAGTAGTATAATTTTAATATATCAAATGACGACTCTGATTTGTTAACAAATGTAAATTTATAATTGAACAGTCAAAATCAACATGGGGTACCTTACATACAAAACATATAAAAAATAGTAAGTTATCCTTGTACATAACTTCCTAAACTGTCTAAACATACTAACGGCTGAAAACACATTCAAATCCAACAACATGTGCCACCTTACAAAATATCAGTACTAGCAAACAAAACATATTAATGACAGCAAATTAATCAAAGGGTTTTGAAATGTTAATAACAATAAACAAAATACCAAACGCAATAGAATGATCAAAGTTTTTCTAAGGTATCTATATTTGGGATTAGGCCTCCATATGGGCAGCTTTGCTCTCATTCCTTACGGAGGCTGTAATATCCTAAATTTTTATCTAGTGACTAAAATATAGGTTTTGAAAGTTTAGTAGTTAAAGTATAAACTTTGAAAAGTTTAGGGACCAAAATTATAATTTTAAAAAGTTATATATTTTAGCCGAATAGTTTGAATTAAAACAGAGATTTTAGCGGGAATTGTGTTAAAAGCTATAAAGCGGCAAAGTTCAGTATTGAAATCGGATAATCGGATCGAACCGGAATTTTACTAAAATTTGAAGGATGTTAGAAAATGGTTGGAAATATTATTTTCATATTTTAGATCAGAGAAATTTGGCTCAAAACAGTGCAATGTTTCAGATTTGGCCAAACAGTGGAGTTTTAGTGACTAAAATGCAATTTTTGAAAATTGCATGGCCAAATTCGAAATTCAAAGCCAAGTTGATTCATCTTTGACCAAGGAATATTTTAATGTATGATGTGACAATGGAATTTAGTAATTTTCAAGATTTATTAAGGGTATTTTTTAGATTTCTCATTAATTGAATTTTAAATTCAATTAATTAAATAAATTCCAAATGTCTTATCTATTAAATACTAGAAAACTCAAGAGAATTAGCACATTTTCAGATTCTTCCTTCACTTGGTCGAAACTTCAAGCCCTCCCTAGGTAAGATTTTTATTTTTGATTTTTGAAGCTATATACTTGATTTTTGGATTTAGCTATTATATAGAGAATTAATCTACATGAAATTTTCTATCATTTGGTACTAATATTTCATGGTGAATATGATTATGTGATGAGATTTCATGATTAGGGTTTAAGGAGGGTTTAGTGATTTTGAAGAATTTATGAAGGATTTTTATGTTTTTGATGTTGGTGATTATTTCTAAAGCATGTATAATGATTAGAACTAATTGTACATATGTATATCAGATTAGGTCATGTTAGGGTTTATGGAGAATCATAGGATTTTGATTTAATTTGATGTTGTAATGATTGGAAGTGCATGAATTTAATCATGAGAGGTTGAATTCATGCTTGAAATTGAATAAAAAGTTCTCCCTATGTGAGATAAAGTATTCGATCATAGGGAAGAAAATTGGGGGAAATGTTGAAAATTTTCCTATGGATTAGAAATGATATTAGAAGTATTCCATGTGATTTGGAGATTGGTTTGGATCAATTTGAAACCTTGAAAGTGTAAAAAGGGTTAGTTTACAAGTTCTTGGAATTGTGGGATATATATTTGTGAGAATGTAATATTTGAGGGATTCAATGTTGATTTTTGATATTTGTTATGCTGGAAATTAATTTGGAAAGTTGTTTGGAACCAAATTTGCAAATTTGGTAAAAGTAGTAGTGAAATTCGAAAGGTCCCAAAACCATGGGGACTTGTTTGCAAGTTATTAAATGTAGAGGTATTATTTGGGTAAATTATTGAATGCTGGAAAATTTATTAGTATGCTGAATTTTGAATTAAAAATTGAGTTGGGGTTGAATTACAAATTTATAAAGTTAGGTGAGGAAAAATCAAAAGTTTATGAAAGTTTGGGTTGAAATTTATAATGTTTTGAATGTTGAAGTGTTGATTTAGGTATTTTATTGAAGTGCCAGAATTTTAGTAATTTATGTGAAATGATCATAATGATGAAGGACCATTATGAATTAAATGGAAATGTGGAGGTAAATTCTAAAAAATTCATAATATGTGGCTTATTTGTGTAATTTAGCAAAAGATGAAGGATTAAGGATGAAATAAATATTCATGGATTTGGATGAGTATTTTGAGAAGTTGAAAATTATAATGTAAATGTGATTTAGTTGATATCGATTTAATCTCGATTTTTATTTTATTGATTTACAAAAAAATGTTAAAATCATCATATGTTAGTACGATACTAATATGTAGTTCGAACATTTTGTGTTATAATTTGGTATTGTCATATTTCGATAAATCTAGCAATCCGAACGATCATAAAGGAAAGGGCAAAGCTCGTGACTAGGATGATTGTATACAAGTTCTGTAGTGAGGCAAAGGTGAGTGCAGTTTATTTATTTAATTATTATGATTGAGGATGACTTGCGATAAGTCAACCTCACCTTGTTTTTTTATTAAGTTTTGAATTATGTTTTGATTTTGGAAATATATCCGTAATATTTTAATAAATTTTATGAATGATTTTGGGTATGAGCTTCCCATGTCATGTTTTACGAATGTGATTTAAATATATTTTTTATTCTAATATGATTTTTATCAAATGTTTATGAAATGAACTGAAAGCCCACTGTTTGTTATATTGAGAGTCAAATGTACAATTGGCATGCCATGAGGTAGAGTGATTATCTGTTCTGGTTTTGATATATTGTGGTGTACTAGAGTGTACACTAGTATATATATTCTGATCTGAATGCACTTTGTGTGCATATTGTTATTTCCGATGTGATAGCACTGTGTGTGCTTATCTGTTCCGACTCTGATGATCTGGAAAATGTATTGCTCACACTCGTCTGACTCACGTACCTAATATTCTCTTAAAATATACTTTGAGCTATAAAAATGAAATATGAAAGTTCTTAAAAGTGTTTGACTATAAAGGAATGTTGACTGATTATTCTGTCTGATCTGATTTATTATGATTTAGTGAAAATCATCATATAATTCTTTTCAGGTTTCTGATAAAGTTCAGCATGAGATATTCGGTTTGAACATCCTGAAAATCCAGTCTGTTTTATTTTTAATGATTATATATATTTCAATATTTTATTTATTTGTTCTCGCCTTTAGTATTACTGTCTCACTAAGTTATACTTAGCGCGTGATGATTTTCATGCGTAGGTTCCGATTGAGACTCGGACGTTTTGTGAGGAGCCTCCCAAACATCGTGTGCAGATCATTTGTATTATCATTATCTGTAAGACATCACAGATGTTTTTTTGACTAGTAGTGGCATGTATATTTATGTTATTAACATGTTTTATTAGTTATGACTATATGGTATGTAATAGTAAATCATGACTATTAAAATTTGACTACTTTAGCTTATCAGTATTTTGTTATGCCTGAATATATAGTAGTTAAAATATTATGTTTTCAAATGGTACATAATTTTAAAAAAATAGTTTTAAAAGTTGAAATTAGAAATGTTTTAAAAGAAATAAAATTTTTAAATAACTTTGAATAGTGATTGTTAGTAAATTTGATGTGACATCTATAACTCGTATTCTTGTAGGTTTATGGGTGTTATAAAGGCTCAGCAACATTTGTTGAATGTTGAGAAGATGGTGTTGTGGGGTTGGAAGATTTTGTAGTGGGGTGGGAAGATGCAGAAGGTTGTAGGGATGTAACAGTTACCCTATAGGGCCTAGTGTGAGGTGGAGAAAGTAAGACCTGAATTGGTATTCCGGGCTGTTAAAGTATAAAAAAATATTTAAAATATAAAATTAATGAAAATGGTTAATTTAGTAAACAAGACTACTTACGTTTAGAATTTGAAGACCAAATTGTTCATTTATATATATACCAAAACCTTGCATAATTCTTCTCCCTTTTGGTCTATCCAATCCATGCTATTTTTTTTACCACTTTTAGTTTCAATATATCAATAACATAACAAAAACTTATAGTCACTATTTCATGAATTTTTAATATATCAATCACATAGAAAATTATCAATAACATAACAACACTTGAATTTGTCGAGAAGAGACACTATGCATTGGGTGAGCAGATGCAGTTTGACCACCTTGACTCGTAACCTATAAATAACAAAATAAACAAAAATCAATAAAATATTTCTTAAAGTATACCTTAAAATATATAAAAAAAAAACAACACTCTTAATTTACATTCGTTTGTCTTTTATTTGGACATCTTATATTATGTTCCAAAAGGCCACATAAACTGTAACTCATCTTATATCCTCGTTTTTTCCATCTTGTTCCACTAAAATCTTCATCATATTTTCTCTTTCTTTTTTACTTCAGTCCTCCTGGTAAATTTCTCTTCAATGGTGGATCTATGCTACCCATTCTAGTGTATTTCCAAAATTTTGAACTTGGTATGGTAGGCATTATAACACTATACAAATCAGAGTATACATGCTTCTTATAAAAATTATATGCATAGTCTTCCACCCTTTCCTCTCGAAGTAAAATGACACATATCCAATGGGGACACTAAATCCTAATTAGGTCACATACCCTACAAGTGCATGTGTAACATACAAGATCAACCACAAATGTGTCTTATTGACACATGACCTGATACCATTCAGTCTCATTCCAAATTACATGAAAATATACACTATTAAGTTTATGCAGTTTAATTTCTTTCAATTATGGGGCACAACTCACCACTCTATCTAATTGATTTTTTTGTGTTCAACTATCCTATGCATAACATAATGCCTAATATCTTCAAACATTGATATAACATATTTAAACCTAACCCCTATAATTGCAAAATTAAATGCTTCAGAGAAATTGTTATTTATTGTATCACATTTAGATTGAGTGGAGAAGAAAGCTTTGGACCATTGTTTTGGGTCTTTTAACATAAGATCATCCAATGCTTTCTTATTTAACTCACCAATTCTTGAAGCATTTCTATGAAATTGTGCTTCAGTAGTAGACTTGCAACACGCCCAGAACAGCAACTGTAGGTCACCACCTTTATGTGATTTTTTCCAATTAGCATACATATGCCTGGCACAGAATCTGTGTTCCACATTTGGCAACAGCAGCTGCACTTCTTCGATCAATCCCTTCTAATAAAAAACAGTTTTAATTAGTATCAATATTGACAATAATTAGTAATGCACAATTTTAAAATGAAAATGTTAATCGAATTGATTAAAATACCATTACCTTTTGCATATCACTGATCAAAGTTAACAGGGTGCCATCTCCCAAGTTCAAATCAGTCTAAATTAAATTAAAAAACTAGCCCCAAGTATCTCTATTTTCAACCTCAACCAATGCCCAAACTATGAAAAATATTTGATTATTCCCATCTCTACCCACAACAGATAAGATTTCACCTTTGATTTCCCTTTTCAAGAAACATTAATCCAAAGAAATTACAGGTCTGCAAAACCTCTTAAAACCTTCCTTAAGAGCACTAAAACATACATAAAATCTCCTAAAAGTTGGTTTACAAGCTTCATTGGGCCTCTCTACCATTAGCTCGAAAGTTGCATTCGGATCATCACTCCTTAGTGCAAATACATAATCAAATAGCCTATTGAACTCATATATAACACTACCTCTTATCTTTTCCAAAGCCTATTTCTTAGCCTTCATGCAATTCTTCTTGTTTATCTCTATTTTTAACTCCTCCCTAGCAAGTTTTCTCATCTCTACGAACTTCATTTATGGGAAAATCCTAAACTTCTTTAAAAAGTGTTTTCCCACCAACTTAAAAGTTGCCCTTTTGTTCTTAAAAGTGGATGAACACTTGTGCTTAGTAACTAAAGTCTTAATCTTAAAACAACTATCGGATTTATCCCAGGAAGCATGTATCACAAATGAGCAACATTTTTCCTTACAAACAACCCTTATTTTCTCTGTTCTATTTGAAACATACCTAAAATCGAAACTATGTGATATTGCATAGCGATTTAGGGCATCTTTCAACTGCTCTCAGGATTGAAAAATCATTCCCAGCTGAAATCTGGTTCATCAGTTAAAGGATCGAAAAAAACCTTACCACTGCTTTTACAAACAGTATCGCCATCTGAATCTGTCTCAAAGCTACCAATATCAAAATATTCTAGATAATCAGTATCCTCTCTATGACCTACACCATCTGAATTTGCTTTATTTCCCTCAGAAGAGATGTTTGCGCCGTCCAATACAACATCAGGTCCGAAGTCTTCCTCATATACAGACTTATCTATAATTTTCCTTTTAATTAGCATACACTTGTCTTTAATGGTATGCTAACCCCACATCGCTAACTTTATAAACATAAACAAATCCACATACTTTTAACCATAAACAAATCCACATACTTTTAACCATAAACAAATGCACATTCTTTAGACAGGAGGATTTGGTTTCAAACCTCAGTTTGAACAGGAGAAGTACCCCATGAAAATGTACCTTGGATGATCTACATCTCAGGGTCAGGCGCTGATGAGCACATTGAACTATCCATGTGGCTGAGAGCCCTCACAGCCCAAGAACAACGGCGCAATTATCAGGGGTGCGCTCTACCACTGAGCTAATAGCGCGTCGTCAAAAGCGAGAGAAATCTCATCCCTCTCTTTCCTTTTTACACCCCCAGGTCCAGCAAATCCATGGGTATTTGAGCCTGAATATCTAGGAAAAAGCAGAATATTTGATGGAAGAATGGGGGACCTTTTTGAACAACCTATTATAATAGGAAAACCTTAATATCTTGAAATTAATTCATCAAGTTGATGATAAAAAAACATGGGCGTTCCAGTGGACATTATGCACTTGTTACACAACAACCAATTAGAGGAAGGTCCAAGCAAGGGGGACAGTGGGTAGGAGAAATGGAGGTTTGGGATCAAGAAGGATTTGGTGTTGCTCATATTTTACAATAAATGCTTACTTATAAATATGATCATAATAGGGCTCACCAATAAGTACTTGGTACTATGATCATTGGAGGAACAATACCTAAACTTGAAAATGCTCCAGAATCTTTTCGATTGCTCGTCCGAGAATTATGATCTTTGGCTCTGGAACTGAATCATTTCCTTGTATCTGAGAAGAACTTCCAGATTAATAGGAAGGAAGCTTAATCGGAATGAATCATAATTTTTCTTCTATGATCGACCGATACAAACATCAACAACTCCGAATTGGATCAGTTTCTCCCCCAACAAATAAGTGTTTGGGCCAAGAAAATCCTACCTAGTGGAGAAACCGTTGGAGAGGTGACAAAACCCTATACTTTTCATTGCAAAACCAATAAACCAGAAAGGGGTGGATTATTTTGTGAAAAAAATTTGGACATTCTTTAGACATAAACAAATCCACATAACTTTATAAACATAAACAAAACCACATACTTTTCCTAGTGTTTTAAACATAAGCACATAATTATAACAGAATCACATACTTTTCGTACTAGTTTTTTTTGTTTTATCCCATTATTATATTAGTATATTTCTTGGCAACACAACTTAAATATATTCTTGTATATAAAAAATTCATAAAAATATTATTTACCGAAAATGGAATTCGCAATAGCAGAACAGAGCATTCATTTTATGGGTGGACTCCACACAAACCTGTCAAAATCAAAGTATTAGATTCCAGATTTGAACTTGGGTTAAAAATAAACAACTCAAGCAGTGTAAGTTTGACATTACCTCTCAAAAGTGCTGCCTCGAATATTATTCCTTTTGTACGTGTTTGATTTGAAATGCCAGTCTTCAATTTCAGAAGTAACTCAAAACCCTAAATTGTTTTAGGGTTTTCAATTTAGGATTTTTGAGCTTTTAATGGGCTAGATTTAAGGTTTATTAGAAACAAAATGAAATCAAGCAGTGAAGAGTAGGGTACTTTCTCAAAAGGAAACTCAGAGTCAAAAACATAAGATAAGCAATTTCAGAAAGAACGGAGGATGATTAGAAGTGAATGGGGGAGAAGGAGAGTTGCAAAGAAAGGGGGGGATCGATGGAAACTTTTAATTTTTACTTTTAGGTTAAACGATTAGTTTTAATATTATAAATAAAATATTAATTTTAATATTTTATTTATTTTATTTTTTATATATTCAAAAATTATAGAAAATTGGAAAAATAAATTTAAATCAGAGTCACGTGTCAGCAAATGAATAGATAACGATTTTTATTTAACTGTTATTATGGCTCAGACACCTAAAATGATAAAGTTTACAACATTAAACACATGAAGGAGACGAAAAATACTTTAGGCACTTATTTATAAAAATAGGTATAATTTACACACTTAAACCTAATAGAAATATGATTATAAGAAAATAATTTAAAAAAACTTAATTAAATACTTAAGAATACAAACAAATATCAAAATTGACGCGAAAGATAAACACCTTACACAGTAACATAAAAATGAAAATAACTACATTGTCATGATGACAACTAATTTTATCATAATTCACACGTGATTTATTCTAGTGAATGTGAATGTCTATCGATATAAGAAAATCAAATTGATATTTTAAAATATGGATATACTAGTAAGATACTCATATAAACGTTGATCAGCACGAATTAAACGATCTCAATAATAAATGAATTTTTATTATTCTTTGAGGTCTAGAGTTCGAGCACTAGAAACATCAGGATTGTAAATATTCAATGTCAAATGATGTATATTTACCTCAGATTAATAAAAAAATATAAATGTTTGTCAGAAGAATAACATCAAATTTAATTTTAAAAAAATATAATAAGAATAGATAATAAAAAAAAACTTATTATAGGGACTAAGAATGAAATCAGACTTTTAAGATAGGCTTAGCCGTGACTATATAGGTATGGGCATGAGTGGTGGTGGTTTGTTCTCTATCTAAAAATATATTATTTATACATAGGTTGAGCACTGGGTCTAAACTCGAGAAATTTTAACACGATCAAATCGGGTTAAATTTTTTTTAAAAAATTAGGTTTGGATCAGATATTTTTTTTAGAGAATAGATTTGAGTTGGGTTAGGATTAAAGTGAAAAAAATCCGATCCAAAAAATAATATAAAAATATCTCATATATAGGGATAATGGCAAGGATATCACTTTTTATATTATTTTTTTCAATTAATTCCCTATTTATTAACTAAAATTAATATATTTTAACCTTCAAATTAAAACTTTGATATGATCTGTTTTGATCTAAATATATTAATATCTTAAAATAGTTAAAATAATATATTTATAATTTTTATTATATTTTAAATAATTAAAATAATATATTTATAATAATTTTTATATTTTTACTAATTAAAGAATATATTTTAATAATATAAAAATAAAATTTTCTAAAATTTTAAATATATTATATATACAAAATAAATTAATAAGTTATATTAGATCGACTCGAATCGATAATTTTCATCTCAAATCTGACCTCATCCTGTCCCAAATTTATATACCATATAATTGTTTTGTCCTGCCTCAAACCGCAATTTTTTTTCTAAAAAAATATTCCTATATTGTCGGGTCAAGTCATATCGGGTCCAGACCCGTTGAGTTCGGATATTCCCTATTAATAAACGGCACCGTTCTATAATGAAACTAACAGAAAAAAAGGAGGGTTTTGGAGTTTGGGTTTATGTCAAATTGGCCTGGCCTGGTTTCTTTACAATCGTCCTTCTTCCCGCTCGAGCTTGCAAAAAAAAAAAAACGTTTCTGAACACCATCGATGTGGTACTTATGTGTGTTTTACCACAGGCTGCTCGATTACCGGAAACCCGAAGTCGAGTCTTTGGCCGACCTTTTCGGAGCTTTTGAAGACAACCGGAGCAACAGGGGTTTACGATGGCGGCTTCCCCAACACCATCACCCCGATTCCCCTTTCCATTTTGTTGATTTTCCTTCCGAAGAAATCGCCAGGAACGTAGCTAATCGGAGTAAGTAACTCCCAAACTTCATTTCTTATCTTGCTTTCACTTTTGAGAGATGGGGTTTTCATTATTGAAACTTTGAGGGTCCTTTGTAGGTATACTGGTGAAGGGGATTTATGAACTTTGGGGTGAAGGAAGTAGCTATGAGGAGCTTGAAGAGGCTATTAAAAGCTACCCGGATGAACTGAAGTTGCCATATTTGGCGTCTGATAGTACGTTTAAGATTACTGTTGATAGTTTCGGGAAGGTTATGAGCCTTCAGGAACAAAATGAACGGATTCGGGGACTCTCTTATATTCCTTTCAAGGTTGATTCTTACTTTGGTTTTGTTGATCGTTAAGTTTGCTTTGGATCACTAATTTTCTTTGAAACAGTAAAGCCATAGCTGGGGCATGTAAGAATAGGGGAAAATGAAATCTTATGCCATGATACTATATGACATAATGGAAAACAATACCCTAACGTTTGACTAAATAGTCATTTTTGTACATGTTCTTTTTTTAGAACATTTTGTCCCTTAACATTTTATTTTTGGACAAAAAGTCCTCCGTAGATGGAATCGGTTAGTCAACAAACGATGATAAGGGCCAAAATTATCTGGGAAAGAAAGAATAGGGTTGAAGTGATCATTTAGTCAAATGTTATGGGCTTGTTTGCCTTAAAATGAAATGTTGAGGGCCAAAATATTCCCAAAAGTGAATAAGGGTTAAAGTGACTATTTAGTCAAATGTTAGGGACATTTTTTTTACATCATGTCATAATAGATTCGGGGATGAGTATGTATCTTACGTTGTCGTAGTATTTGGAGGATATTTCAAGAAGAAGGAAAAGTCCAAGCTAACATAGATATTATATTTTCATATTTGGCGCGTTCTTTTAATTATATTCTATCTCTATGTTACCGAACTTGCCGTGAGTGTTGGATAGAAATGTGTCTGGCACTCAAATGCTTTATTTTCTTTTAAGATTTTCCATATGTCCAAATAAGAACAGAACAGATATGCCAGATATGGATATTTAAAAAAATTGAAGAGTCCAGATTACGTAGATCATATTTTCTATGGTAATTGTAATCAACATGTTTGCAGGGTCAAGTTAATTTGAAGAATTCTGATATCAATTTCTGGCTCATGGAAACTGATGATTCTGTAGCTAACAACGGGCTTCCACCAGTAGCACAAAGGAGAATATTCTTTGGTAGGGAAGTTGGTGGAGCAGATAGGAAGCTTATCCCCACGTATCAATTGAAAAGCCGAAACTATCTTGGCCCGACAGCAATGGATGCAGAAATGGCTTTCTTAATGGCCAATCAAGCACAGGCCGTGCCTGGGAAACTTGTATATGACCCTTTTGTTGGCACGGGGAGCATTCTTGTTTCTGCAGCTCGCTTTGGAGCAATGACGATGGTGTTGTATTTCCCTTGTTTTGTCTGATTTATTTTCCACCACAATGCTTTTATTTTGTAAATCATATGAGCAACATCCTTGCAGTAATTTGTGTGGTGACAAACTGCTTGAATTCATTCAGGGTGCAGATATTGACATTCGAGTAGTGCGCGATGGGCGTGGTCCTGACTGTAATGTCTGGAGCAACTTCAAGCAGGTGAATTTGTAACATAACTAGTAATTCTTTTTTCCTTAAATATATCTGCAATGGATCTGCACGAGATTATTTGCTCATTTGCCCTGCGTCCCTTTTAGTACGACTTGCCGATGCCAATTGGTTTGTTGAGGGCAGATAACAACCTTCCTCCTTGGCGACCCGGATTAAAGGAGGTAATTTCTTGTCAAAATTGCTTTCTGTTGAGTATGTCAGTGCATTCTTTATCGGTATGTGAATTTGATTTGTTTCACCTCTATGATTGTTTATCACATTACTCTCAAGTATTGTTTTGATTGAAGAAATTTTAAAAACACATTATGTAGCCGATACATTTGCTTAGTTTGCTATGCCATCATAATGAGTTATTGATGTAAACTAGTATTGTTTGAGAAAGTGCTCAAGTTTCAAAGCAACCTTTGTGATCCATTTAGTGTATAATAATCTACTCTGAATCCTACTTTTTTGATGTATAAGTATTCTCTCTTGCTTTTGAATAGGTGTTCGATGCAATAATTTGTGATCCGCCGTATGGAGTTCGAGCTGGTGGACGGAAATCCGGTGGTCGAAAATTGCTCAAGGGAGTTGTTGGCCCTTACACTGTCCCCGATGACAAAAGGGCGGACCATATACCATCAACTGCACCTTATGGCTTAGCCGAGTGTGTGCACGACTTGCTTGACCTTGCTGCTAGGATGCTTGTTATGGGTGGCAGGCTTGTGTTCTTTTATCCCGTGTCAAGAGAAGGCGATTCATCGGAAGATCATTTCCCAGAGCATCCATGTTTCAAGTTGGTTGCCAATTCTGAACAGATACTCAGCTCAAGATACAGTCGGGTTTTACTCACCATGGTAAAGACATCCCCGTACACCGAGGAACTCGCATTGGCGGCTCGGATAAAGCATTTGGAGTTCAAGGAGAATCATGCCAAGTGGTTAGAAGAGGGTAACAATCTACACTCTTCTGTTTTCAGTCCAGCAGAGGTTGTTGATGATCCGAAAGCGAGTAAAGAATCAAAGCCCAAATACAGAGGGAAATATGTGTAGTCTCTGCTGCTGTTTTGACTTAAATAATGTGGTCATCCATGTTTTTACTCTGAATGACAGTGATGAAAAGATTGCTTGCAAGTAGCAGGCAGGAGATGAAATGTTGTTCTATTCTATTTTTTTTTTCCAAGAAGGGATGAGAAATTTATTTTTAAAAAAGAGACAAAATTGTAATGCAAGTAAACCCTAATTATCTTATTTTCTCATGCCGAATGCTTTTTTGTTGGCTTACTAACAAATTTCAATTTGATTATAAAAATTCAACAATCTAAACATAAAATTATTCAGAAGAACAAAGGTTTACTGATATTATTCAACAGTTCTTCCTGCTGCTCTTAGATGGGGCAAATCCAAAATCCAGTCCAGTCCAGAAGAACAAAGGTTTACTGATGTTACTATTTTTTTTGTTTACTAATATTATTATCCAAACATAGAGAGACAAGGAAAGAAATGGCTTGTCATCTCCTGGTGGCCGACTTCACTCTCCCTCTCAAAAGCCCCAAACTTTCTCACTCGGTTCGTTGCTTTTCTTCCCAATAAAAAACCCATTTTTCGTTCATATGAATACTTGTTTACACCAAAATGCTTGTACGAAAGCTTAAAACTTTGTGGTCAATTTCAATCTTTTGTTATATCTGTATTTCCAGTACCTTCTGTAAGTAAAATTCTACTCTTTCTTCCTCGTGTTTTGTTGATGTATTCATCGGCGGCAGCGAAAAGGAAGGTCGAATGGGTTGCGAAAAGTTTCTACGACTGTTGCTTACTATGGGCTAAAGACCCCTCCTTATAACCTTGTCCGTGAACCCTTCTTTATTTACTTGATATTATTCTAGTCGAATCAGAATGAAACTTCTGTGCCGATGTTTTAATGAGTATTTTGCTGCTAATTTTGCATATTGTAAACTACTTATGATGTAGTAATTTTTTGCTCTTTTAATGGCCGCTTCCTGGACTTACCTGCATCCATTACCTTGTTGCAGGATGGTTTAGAACCTTATATGAGTAAGAGGGCATTAGAGGTGCATTGGGGTGTGCATCATCGTGGCTTTGTGGACGACCTTAATAAACAGCTTGGGAAAAGTGACATACTGTATGGCTACACTATGGATGAACTTGTCAAAACAACATTCAACAATGGGAACCCACTACCTCAATTTAACAATGCGGCCGAGGTATAAACACTGCCATCAACCGGTCATCTTTTAATTGTTTGGTTGTATGTGATGCGTCGTTTGCGTTTAAATATTCTTTGATTGAAACAAAATCTTGGGTCGCTGCATACACTGATACACAAGTTTTAGGAACCATTGTCCCCTAGAGTGAGTTTATATCATTTTTTAGTTCACGTGGTACTAGCATCTAATGTAGGATCTGCACTTGAGCTTACAATTGCAGGTGTGGAACCATGACTTCTTTTGGGAGTCTATGCAACCTGGAGGAGGGGATATGCCCAAACTTGGTTTACTTGAGCAGATTGAAAAGGATTTCGGGTCTTTCACAAACTTCAGAGAGAAGTTTGTGGAAACGGTTCTTTCGCTATTTGGCTCGGGCTGGGTTTGGCTCGTTTGTAAGTCCTTTCTTGAGTTAATTTCTGTTTGCTTTTTGATTATTGATGGACTGTTCCTCTGCTAGGTGCATAGGCCTCATTTCCACAGCTTGCATTTTTCCCTACATTGGCCCTTGTATATTCTTGTTAGTAGGTGGCCAATGTGTCGAGATACCACATAATACGCCGCATGCTTATTCTGACATTCTTCATGCTTCTCTTGCATTCTTTTCTTTTTTAAAGTAAATATGATCCAACAATAGTTATTGGACCACCACCGTATACATGAAAATAGCAGCTTTAGTGTTTGGTGTAAAGTGAGAATTCATCTGTTGGCCCAGTTGCTTCTACTCGACAAGGATAGCATATAATTGGAACATGATTTGTTTCTTAACAAGTTGACTCAGCAAGTAATTTCTTTCATTTGATTGTTCCAGTGAAAGAGGCACGAAAAACGGCTTGCAGTAGTGAAAACGTCGAATTCGATCAATCCGATTGTGTGGGATGACATTGTATGTCAATTGTCAGCCTAGATATTTTTATCTGTATATATTTAAGTTTGTTTTATAACTGAAATTTGAACTCTCTTTAGTGCAGCCCATCCTCAATTTGGATATGTGGGAGGTAATCTCTTTTGTATCTCTGTTCTCTAACAATCCCCCGCATCCCCCAACATGCTTCTAGGTGCTGGCAGTTTGTTTGTTTGCCATTGCAGCATGCTTATTATTTGGATTACAAGGTATGCTACTCGATCTACGACGTCTATTTTAGGTCCTATATGAGAAAATATTCTTGAAATTATCGATGCCCTTCTCTAAGCAGAACGACAAAGCGAAATACGTGAGCACGTTCATGAACCACCTTGTATCTTGGAATGCTGCTACGGTACGCATGGCACGTGCGGAGGCATTCGTGAATTTAGGCGAGCCTAAAATTCCCATTGCTTGAAATGCCGAGTCTTTAAGCTCTCTAAGCTCGCGACTAGGATGCAATCAGCAGCCTTTCCACTTCGATTGCAGGATTTACTCGAAGCGTGCAAATTAACCACAGCCCGTGTTTGCAGAGCTCCTTACAAAGAGGGCTTCGAACCCGAATCTGCTTCATTGAATGTTACAGATAGCTTTGTTTCATGCTCTGCATATTTAAGGGTGACAATGTGAAATATTTTGATCTCGGGGTCTGAGAATTACCTGTAAATGTGGCCATTATCACTTGCCAACTTTTATTGGTGGCATATGCCAGATAATGATCACAGGAAACAGCAGATTTCATTTCTTTAAAAAGTGAAAAACTAACTGGCACTGGTTTTATTATTAAACGGGGAAATCATTACATACATGTCGGCCACATTGATTGTCATGAAGAGGAGAAAAAAATCAAGCCATGTTGATTGTGTTCTTCTGGAGATGGGCAGTGTTGGCCTTAAATCCATAATGTGCATCAACCACATTGGATTTAGAACTAGGCTCAGCTGCCCCATTACTTGTAATTACAACTTTTAAAAAGGAAGATGGATGGGCAATGACCTTTAATTGAACCAACTATTTTAATGTGGAAGGGGACCCTTCAATTACCCTTAAGCCCAAGTTTGTGTGTAGTTTGAAATTTTGCATGCTAGGCAATTGGCACGTCGCTTTCTTGCATACCAAATGGAACGCCTTAACTAAGCAAATCAAATCAACTTTTGTAATTGACATGCCTTGTCTACTACACCTCAACTCTCTTCTCCTTTTCCAATGAAAATGACTTGAGGTTAGGGATGGGTATGGGTCGGGTTTGAGCCAACCCGACCTGGCCCGAAAAATATACAACCTCCACTCGACCCGAATTCGACCTGATATTTTGAGAGAAAATTCGAACTCGACCTGATATCGAAATAATAAAAAATATTATTTTTATTCAATAAAAATAATGATTTAATTGAAAAAAATAATATATAGAGGGATATTATTGTAATTATTCTTAAATATATAAGATAAAATTATATTTTTTTCCCTGGTCAGGTCAAGTCTTGTATTTTTCACCCTAAACCCGAATCCAACCCGACCCAAACATCACTTTTAAAAAAACCCGACTCGAACCTGAATTTTTTATAAAAAAAATCCGACCTAATCAGGTCGAAACCTGTCAGGTTCAGGTCCCATGTCAATCCCTACTTGGGATGCTTATGAACTCAAATCATCTCATTTGTTTCTTCCATTAGGTTAGATCTAACCTTATGTAAAACATGACATAGGGAATTACAATGGATCATCACATACAAACTACTCACAACCATGTATCAAAGTTGCAATTTAAAGTAATGTAGTATACTATAATCCAATTTGGCACATGATAATTTAGTGTATGCGGGTATACGGATGTTTCATCATAAATAATCATAACTCGTACATAAGTATTATAAACCTTATGACATGCTAATTATATTTGATACGAAATTAAGGTAATCATGATAATGTTATGAACATAATTTTTCATGCGATTTATCATAACACAATACATAATATGATTCGAAACATATTATAATTCAGTTTATCTTTTTACATTATAATGCAGTTTTGGATTTATCAATTACCCATACCAAATCAATTATCGTTTTACCAACATGCTCAAAATGTTAAAACATATCGATTCAAATCCAAAATCAATATACATACTCACGAATATAATCAATGTACGTACCTACAACTAGCATGTTTAAAAAATAGGGTAAACTACACATTTAGTATCTAAACTATCAATTTTAGTCTGATTTAGTACCTAAACTTCTAATTTTTTCAAAATCATACCTAAAGTTTAGTTTTTATTTCATTTTAGTACACAGTCGTTAAAAAATTAACTCGTTTAGTACCTAAACTATTAGTTTTGGTCCGTTTTAGTACTTAAACTTTCAATTTTTTCAAAATATCTAAATTTTGAATGGGTAAATACGTAATTTACCCTAAAAAATTGAAGATTCCTCCCATGTGAACAGGGAGTGCATTTTTGTCTCAAATGTGTGGGGAATACTGGGTTTCCAATGGTTGTTGCATGTGACGGATTTTAGTTTGATCGAGTGGCTTAATTTCTTAAACAATAACAAGATTCATAATGAAATTGCAATCACGATTTGGGCTCTCTGGTTCGTTAGAAACAAGTTAATCTATGAGAATATCACTCACGGAGTTGAAGAGGTACTTACCATCATTCGAAACTATGTTAAGGAAATCGAGACAATTTTTCGCCACCTTCACCGCTCTAAGGTGTACGAGAACTCTGTCTGAGTGCCCCCCACTGATCCCATAATAAAGGTGAATGTGATGCTAGCTTCTCTTCTGCATGCACTTGATCTTCTTGCTCCTGTTTCAAGGTTCGTGGCAGTGCTAGGCTGATTATGGCTTCTGATTTTTGCTTAAATAAAAATGTCCAGAGTGTATCCACGGCGGAGGCTTTAACGGTGATCCAAGGGCTACGTTTTGCCCTTGATCTGGGTTTCCGAGACATAGTGTTAGAAGGAGATTCGAGAACGGTGTTCCAAAAGCTGAATTCAAACACGACTAATTTTTCTTTTATCCGTTCGTTTACCTGTCATGCAAAAGCTTTGGCTAGGCAATTTCGCACTTGTAGCTTCCGGTTTAAACCCAGGGGAAGAAACACCGTCACACATACAATGTGCTGCGAGGAGGTAAGAGCAGAGACTACAAATTCTAGATTGAAAAAGCTCCAAGGGATGCTCTTGTTGTTGCTGATGAGGATAGGCGACACATCGACCCTTCATAGCTCCAAAATTCATCATTTTGCTGATTTGGGCTTGTTTTGCAGAGATCACCCAAATCTTTTCTTGATTTGTTCTTCAGCTGAAACGTCTGAGCAACTGTTTAGTTTTTGTTGTTTTAATTTATGGTCATTGACAATCACTTTTGTTTTATATTTTTTTCATAAAGCTCATAGGTTCATTTAAAAAAAAGAAACCATAAAATTATAAAATGACCAAAATGTCCTTATATTGTAAAAAGATTAAGGCTTGATAAATGAGCTTGAAACCCTGAAACTTCGGAAGAATGAATAAAAGACTCTCAAGACTAATTGGTAAAACCTAATACTTTAGTTTTTTTTTTTTATAAATAATTGAACTTAAAGCTTAAACTAATAAAGACTAATTTACCCTAGAATGCAATTCTTGAGTGTAAAGCCTTAAAATTGTGATAATATCTAAAGAGCCATAAGACTAATCATCTGATCGAGAATACTATAAGAATGTTTAAATTTTGATAAGCTACTTTGACTAAGTGATAAGTTGTATGAACGTTTTGTGTACTCTAATATTATGTTATGTAATTGTGATAGAAGTGTTATCATATGTGGCTGTATTGTCACTATTTTATTATATGCCTTTAGTAGCGACCAAAAAAACACTACACATATCTGATATATGATATGATTATTTGACCTTAATGGTGCGTGCCTATCTAGATATCCAACATCTAATGCATGTGTAAATTACATGTTATTCACATATTTGAGTTATATATTGCTTCTGTTCACTACTACACATTTGATCTGGTATGTGAAGCATGTTTGATTTGTGAATATGTTCGACCTTATCTATAATATCATCTTTAGTATTTTAATAATTTATAAATATCTGACTAAGATTATAGATTTAATAAAGTCTTTCTATCATATGATAAATATCTTGTCTAAAGGTGAGATTGATCCTTTGTTCTATTTGGAATCATGTTTTATGTTTAACTAATTTCACTTCTTGTTATACAAAGTAACAATCCGAGATGAAATCGAAGTTGAGAAAAATAAAATATGAGAAATTAATTTTTAAAAAAATAAATAAATAAAAAAGAAAAATAATATTTTTATTTTGATCTTGTGATTAGAAAAAGTTGAGGTCTACCGCTAGACATTTTCTTTAAGACAAATTTTCGACCACTCCTTTGGTGCTCAAGATCTTTGATTGTTTGTCTCCCAGGATACAATAACTAGATGATCAACAAACAAAAACAAAATCTTTCGAGATCACAAACTATCTTGCCTTCGTCTATCACCAGAAAACGGAAAAAAGAGAGAATATCTTTTTTTTCAAGAAAATAGAAATTCTTGAATTCTGAGATATGAAAAACTTAATATAACTCAATATTTATAGGGGATTTTTAAGAGAGTTTTACTCCAAGCGGATATATTTTAATATCCAAATTTAAACAGATAATAATATCTTTTAATTTGAAATATTCAAAATATATAAACTCATTTTACTATTCAAACTTAAATATATATTATTTTAATTTAAAATATCCAAAACTATATAATTATCTTTAATATTCAAAGTTAAATATATAATAAATACATTTTCAATTTGACATATTCAAAAAGTAATTATCTTACTTATATTTAAATTAAAAATATCTTTTAATTTATAATAGTAAAAGGGAATATGAATTTAATATAAATATTAAATCCGTCAATTAAATTCATCCTTTTTTCAACAATCTCCTAAATGAATGAAATTGATGATTTTATTAAAAACGTTTTGACACGATGTGATGATAGCCTCTATGATCGATAGTTCCATAAGATATGTAGGTGTCATTTGAACCTTCTCTTGTGACAGTATATGTACTTTACTGGCTAAACAGTAGACGCGATATCCTTGAATTGTTTTGTCGTTTCTGTAAACGATGACATACTTTAAACAAATATCCCTCTAACAAGAATTTAGTTATCATGGGTATGTCATTAAAGCCATGGACATTGCTTGGTTCTACAAGAGTTTGAAAGAACTATGCCTAATAGTCTCCTTAAAGGTCACACTTTACTCTCACATAGGTAACTTATGTTGCTCGGCTAATTGAAACACACAATGGTCATTAAAAGCTTTGCTTAGTCTATACCACTTTGATCACTATTTACATCATAGGAATAGACTTGAGATAAGAAACTCCCACAGTAACCGTACACGATTTATGCAATTAAGTTGTCCGTTTGAACCTAGATCTTGGGATCTCCAGTCAATAAGGTAGGGTTTTCCTTTACATAAAGCCTTTAAATTTTATGGGCTTTAGTCTCATTCCTTTAGATGTTTTCTCAACTTGATCTAAATTTAACCCTTTGGTTAACAGATCCATGATGTTATCCTTTGA